AAAACTTAGCGCACAATCCTCACGTTGTGTGGTTTTATTTTAGTCGACAGTCCCTAAATATACTCACCTGTGGGGCCATGGGGCTCCACAGGCTTTTGGCGCCCAGCCCAGGAGACACCAGAGGAAGGAGGGGCGGGGAACTGGGTGCCCCCCGAAAGGTGTCCCGTGATCAGGCAGGATTGGCTCCCTGGAAGTGGTCGGTCAGCAATGTGGGCAGGGGGTGAGTTCGGTGGAAGCGGGAACAGAGGACGCGCAGACTCCGAGGTCTGATGCCCTCACTCTCTGAGGCCCTTCAATTCCCGCCGACCCCCTGCCCTACACCCGCCTGTTACCACAGTCCCGACTCCCAGCCCCGTTACCTCTGGCTGGGGCCTGAAGCCTGGCAGGTTTCCAGACAGCACTGGCAGGTCTACATGGCACCAGGCTGATCGCTGCCGGCCACCTCCTGGGAGGAGACCAGGCCAGGCTGCTGGGTGCCCCGCAGGGCTCCTGCTCTGGGCACTAATTAGCTTATCAGTCTCCCAGAGGAGGGGAGGGCAAGGGGTGCTGCCCCCTCTCCTGAGGGGTTCAGCCAGGATCTACCCCTACAGCCTCAAGCCACGAAGGGCACCAAGAGGCCTCTACCCCAGGTCCAGAGAACCAGCCTCTCGGGCTGGCAGCCCAGGAGGCGGGCAGCTGCTGGGCTCAATTAGAACCTGCAGTACAGCAACACAGTCCCCTGGCCTCGGCCTCTACCCCATCCAGTGTCCCCTGTCTCCCTAGGCCCTGGTGACCAGAATCAGGGGAGCACGCACGGACTCCTGACCTCCAGCACAGGGACAGGAAGCTTCTCCTTGCCCCCTCCCCCATCTCAACAATAACAGCTCCCTGTGCGTTTTATCATTTAATCTTGGAAATAATCCACACCTCAGCTGTGTAGATATAGAAACTGAGGCTCAGAGAGGTGGTAGGAGTGTCGGACACCACACAGAAAGACAGCAGGAGGGCCAGGATTCCAGTTTTTCTCTCTCTGACCACCTCACATCCCCTCCACCCTGCCAAAGCCTCCAATATCTGAGCTGTGAAATCAGAACTGGGAAACAGACCCTCAAGCAAGGTGGAGGGGGGCCTCCCTAAGGCCCTTTCCACATCAGGACAGAGCCCCATCAATGGAGACTTCCCAGGTCATTTGCAGAGCTTTCCAGGCTTCCCTGGGCATCAGCCAGGGACTGGCCCCAAGCAAGACATGTGGGTTGTGGTCTCTGACCAGAGGACCCTCACTTGTATCTTACACACACCCTGACCTGGCAAAGGTCAGGGGTCCCTCGGCCCTCCTTCTTTCAGTTAGATCTCTAGGACACATCCTCTTATACTCACAACATCTGGAAGTTCTTCCCCATGTCTGACTGCAATCCTCCCTGCTGCAGGGGACACCTATTACCATCTCTGCAACACAAGCAGCTCCTTCCTTCCTCGGGCACACAGGGACTGCTCCCACATGTGGGAGACCATTTGCTGCCTCTTGTTTGAATTTCAGAAACTTGGAATACCTGGGTCTCAGATCCAGGCCCCCACTCCTGGGCTCAGATCTGAGGAATCTAGGTCAGTGACATCTGCTCTTCCCTACTCCCCAGGTCCAGGGTGACAGAAGGAGCTGAGCCAAGGGCCCCTCCCAGCACCAGGAGTGGGGAGACCCTCCCTGACTGAGTTGAGGGGAGGTTGCAGGGGTCCCCGGACCCCTCAAATCAGAATTCCCAGAGAAGACGCTGTGCCTTCCCCATCAGACCAAGGTTTCCAGGAAGGCCCAGCCACTGCCCACCCGTATGCAGGCCACCAGTTCCTCACCACAGGCTCTTCACACCCCGCTGTGGCCAAAGCCCCCATGTCACCAAACCCCAGGCAAAACCACATGTCCCTTTCGCCCCACTTCTGAGCTCTTCTGCCCTCAGTCAGCACCCTAGGGCCTGACCCTGAGCTGAGACCCAAGTTTCCTCTGCTGCTCCCCATCCCTCGGATCCCTTGGTTGGACCTGAATGCATCAAGCAATCTCCTTCCACACCCACGTGACCCTCGTCCACCCACCTAGCTCCCTGAACAGCCAGCCTCCCGATCCCACATCCCCCCATGCCACGTTGTCCTTGAGAGCATGTTAGGCCTGTCACTGCCATGGTAAGCTGCCCCTCTGGTAGCTATCTGAGGCCTGCACTCCCGCTGGCTGCATACCACCCATGGGTCCTCCCACCTCTGCCCAGTTCTCTCACTACGTGATGGCCTTATGCTCCTGCTGGCGTCCTCCTCTGGGAGGGGGCAACGGGAACCTGGTTTGCAAACCCCGCTGTCTTAACCCCAGTAGGGGCAGAGTGCCCAGCCAACATTTGCAGCCTCTGACACTATTCCCGGGGTCCCTGCAGCCAGGGGTTCCCGCCCCCACATAACCCCTTCTCCCGACATGTGGACCGACCTAGTGACTCTAAGAGACAGAACACAGCAATGGGGATGGGGTGTCACTTCTGAATGAGCTCACGCAAGACTGTGACCTGTGTCCTGCCCGCACCCCTCCTCGCCCTGCCCGTGCTCACTCTCACGGGGCCGGCTGCCACGTGAGATGGTGGAGAACGGAGGGCAGCCTCAGCCAGGGGCCCAGGGGAGCCGAGGCCTCCCCAGGACAGCCTTGCAGCAAAGGCAGCCTGATAAGAGATTCTGGGCTGGAGGCCCCCAGAGAAACTGAGACGATCTATGTATGTTGTTTTAGTTGTTCTAAGTTACATGGATAACTGACGTAGTGCCAAAACCAGACACAGAGTACATAAGACAGGAACACGATGATGACTGCACACACGGTCTCCATCTCTGCAAGAACCCAAACACAAAGAAAAAAAGATAAAACATATCCTGACCAAGCTGAGTGTCTCCAAAGAAGGCAAGACTGTTTGACATCAGAAAAACAATCTAACTCACTCCATTAACCCCCTGAAGGAGAAGGCAACTGTAAGAGTATTTTTTAAACGTAGGAAGAGGATTTGACAAAAGTCAATATCCATTCAGAAGCAGAAAAAGAACACTTCCTTACTTTGATGAAAGTGTCTACCAACCCCCCAGTAAGCGTGTGGAGGGCTCAGCCACAGCGCTTCCTTCGCAGCCTGGATCGAGCCGAGAACAGACCCACTTACCCCACCCCTGCTCACCACTGGACAGCAACTCCCACCCAGCAACAAGCTCCCTTCTCCCACACAGAAGGAGAGAGGTGAAAAAAAGGCAGGTGAACTGGGAAGGAACAAAATTCACTTACAGATCATGCCTTTATAAAGAAGGCAGAAAACATTCTCAGACACTAAGAAACAAAAGAGTGTATTAAGGTCACTAGACATAAAGTCAGCACGTAAACATCAACCATCTCCACACACCAGCAGCACTGCTTTCCTCACAGACAGCACAGTGAAAGCAACAAAAAAGGAACACGAACATCTGACACATTATCAGTACGCAGACGATTACAATACACTTCTGTGTGTGTGCTGCATTTCAAACTAAAAAACTGTGGCCAAAGAACACCCTAAAGATCATACAGAAATACTTTGGAACAG